TGGGGTAAAATGGAGAAGGGCAAAAAGTTTTGACGAAACAAGTAAATGTATACATTTCAAAATCAGAATGTGCAACGGAAAGCACCATTATTTATGAAAAAGGGTTCAAATGCAATTTAGTACATATAGCTGGGATGAAAACATTACTGATCTGTGGTGAAACTTTTTCTGTTAACTGAATTCCTAAACTCAAAGCTATATATTCCTTGTTACAATATGTCAGAAAAATGGCTTCATATTTCACAATTTTTTTCTATCAAATGAAATGGCCTCAATATTACTATATTTCAGTGGTGGCGAACCTATGGCACGCGTGCCAGAGGCGGCACTCAGAGCCCTCTCTGTGGGCACGTGCGCCGTCGCCCCAGTCCTAGGCCTTCAGCTGGGTTTTATAAAACCTTTTCGCTTTAGGCCTCCACCGCCATGTGCAAAAAAAAAAAAAGATTCAATCAGTCAATTTCAACTTCTTGCGGGACAAAAAAGATCTTGCAAAGTTGGAATTGATTGATTGAACATTTTAGTCCCACCCAGTCTGCCATTACCACTGCAGCCATGCCCACTCAATTGGCCACACCCACTCAATTGGCCACACCCAGCCAATGGGCCACACCCACCCGGCACTCGACGATGCATAAGTGGGTTTTGGGTTGCAGTTTGGGCACTCAGTCTCTAAAAGGTTCGCCATCACTGCTATATTTGCTGCTACAAAGCTACATGCCTGGCTGCAATTTGCTTTCCTTATCCCTCAAGTTTAAAGAGGTTTTAATGGCTACAAAGATTGGAACCAACTAAAAATAAATATAATTAAGATCTAGTTTCCCCCTTCTGCGTGTAGGAGAATGTGTGTGTGTGTGTGTACAAATAAAATATAGCTAGCATAACATCTCCATGTTACTTTGTATTATCCAGTGGAAAATGTTTCTTTCCAAACTAGACAAAGCTGATATGGCTGTAAATTAGGTATTATCTCGAGTCAAAGTAACTAACGTATCAATGAAAACGTTTTCAGAAGAGGAAAAGTCAACTGGAAACCATGAAGAATATATACTTTGAAAAATGAAGCAATTACAACTCCCAAATTTACTGCCAGCTTTGGATATGTGGGTTGGAATTTCTGGGAATTGCAATGTCAACATCTCTGGAGGACTCTCAGATTAAGAAAAGCTGAATTAGACCTAATAATGGCTTCCACTTGCATTATTTCTCTTGTAATATTAATGTATTTTAAGTGGAGATTTTACAGAAAATCAGTTCCTTTGGACTTAAAATTATTCTCCTCACTGCTTCCACATTTCAATCCATAACCAAGATCCAAAAAATAAGATAAATGTGGACAAGAGAATCCTTGCAAAGGAGTATGAAAGTACATGGCTTAAGTACCTTGCCAGCTGTCTTGAAAGTGCAGCACTTATTTTTTCATCACAGTTTATCTGACAATGGGGATATAACATGAATCTCCTAATTTTCATCTATATTTTTAAATGTATACCTGCAAATGTCAAAGGAATAGATATACTTCCTCGGTGTCTTACAGATACATTGGATCTTATGCTAGGAAAGTATGAGAGTTGAAATTCAGTATGTCTGAATTATATAAGGGTGAGGAAGGCAATCTAAGAGCCAATTCACATAGTTCTCCTAACATGCAAACAATCATAGCTCACCTTCATTAATGTGTCTTAATTTTAGAAAGGCAATATTTGTATGAATTGGCCTTTTGACAAACATTGCCAACAGGAATTTCTGCAATGAGAAACTTTTCCCCGCACGGTTATTAAGGTAACAGAAATCATTGTAGCTGATTTATGAGGTTGGTCATTGAAATTTCCAGGATAGGATATACCAATGTATAGGAAAACTTGTGAACATCAATTTGACATTTAAGGCCCTAAAGCTTCAAATTAATGAAAGAGGCTTAGATAACCCTGAATAAAATTATAAGTAAACAAAAGCTGATATAACTCCTACATGGTACAAAGTTAAACATATCTATCTGCCGAATTTGAATTCATACTTTTTATATGCATTTGTTTATAAATCCAAAGAAAACAATGTACAAAGAGATCTAATTTAAGCAACCACTGAAGTGATCCCTATGTGAAAAATGACGTGGCTGTGACTACATAGGATTTTATTTCAGCTTTACTTTGTTTTACAGGATCAGAAGAATATGAATATATCTCTCATAGTATCTACCTGACAGGTTTGGTCTGGCAAGGTTGGTATGCTCTGGGTTCCATCAATTAAACAATGTCATCTATTGGTGCCTTGGAAGTGTGACCTTCTCCATAGCAGTGCCCGGCCTCTGGAATGAAGTTCCCCCTGAGATTTAAACAGCTGCCACCTTGTTTCAAAGGCTTGGCTATTTGGATTGGCCTTTGGAGAGGATGACTGAAGCCCCTCTTTAAATTTCTGCTCCCTTCTCAATTTATTCTCTTTGCCATTGAAGTTCTTCTGTCTTATGCTGCTTTTGTGTGTTTTTCTATTCTGTGTTTTTAAATGTTGTACAAATGTTGTAAGGCACCCAGAGTCATTTGGAATCGGGCAGCATATAAACTTAATAAATTATTTTATTACCCAAATGGGTGAGCTCACATCAGAGGTTGTTTCTGGAACTTGATTCACAAGGAAGCTGGGAAATAGGGAAAATCTTATATCCCTTTCCCCCCACATTCCTCTTGTCCTTTTGGAATGCTCACCCAATGCTGGGATAATAAGAAGAGAGTTGATGTTTATATTTCCAATCATTGGAAAAGGAGAGACTACTAAAGAGTAGGCAGGCACACGCTGGGGAACACACATTGAAAGCAATGCACTAGTGGCTGTTTGCCTTGCTTCTCCTGGTTGAGAGCCAGAATCCTCTTAGGGCCAAACAAAAGGCTTTAGTGAGAAATTAATTAAGATCTTGTCATTTTCAAGCAGCAGCTACCAGCTGGCTGGAAGGTTCTAATCAACTAATTAAAGTCACAGAGCTGAGCTTGTTAAGTTGTGTTAGTACTTTTTAGAGACTTGGACAAAAGCAGCTCAGGAAGAGCTAAGCGATATCTCTGCCCTGTGAGGGGACAAAAGGAAAAAAATGGGTCAGGCATACAACAATATGATACCATGCTGGCTGACTGTAATGGCAAACGTGACAGAGAGTGGAGGAGGAGATGATGCAAAGGTTGTAAATGCAGGCACTGATCATAGATTTTCATCACATTTATAACTGAACAGTCGTTCTCTGAGACAGTCACTAAATGAGCACTACTAATATATGGCAGATTGCAAAAGTCTGGATTCCCTTTTAATTAGCACTTTCTAACATCTTTATAAAAATAAAGATTTTGGAATGGTCTTTACAATCCCTAGTCTTTAATATAATTGAAAATCTATAGGAAGATCTCAAAAATGCAGTAAATGTAAGATAATTCAAGAATATTTCTGAGCTAAAAGATTTCTGCAAGAAAGAGTGGGGAAAATTAGAAAAGTGAAAATAGATTCTAAGCTGGTTATCAGAAATATGTGAAACTATTATTTTTGTCACGGAATTACATTATTAGATACAAGGTTTGAGACTAATATTAACTGCAGGTAAATTAAATGAGATCAAATTTAGCTCTTTCTGACCGAGCCACTCTTCTTTAGATTGCATTTTTTTGTGTATCACTAAAATGCCAGCTGGCCTGTAAAAAGTTTCATACCTTGATTTACTTTATGAAATTAGAAAATAACCATTATACATTTTGTTTTCAAAAAAGAACTGCAAAAGGAAGGCGTACTTAATTATTATATTCCAATGTATATCTATAAAGCCACCAAACAGACTTTCAAATCCAGATTAAACTGATGTATAGCAGATACATGTAGTCCTTGCTTAGTAACCACAATTGGGAGTGGCAATTGTATTGCTAAGCCATGCGATCATTAAGAGAACAGACTTATCACCACAGGAAGTTATTACCACCAATCAGAACTTGTGACCTTACGTCTTCATTGACTCTGCTTATTGGAAGCTGGTTGTGAGACATGCAAATGGTGATCATGTGACCATGGGATGGTGTGATAGCTGTAAATGCCTGGTGGTTGTGAAGCGCTCAAATGGTGATCACGGTAGTGTAGAGATGCTGCAACAGTCATAAGTTATTTTTTCTAAAATCTAACTTCGTCATTGTAACTTCAAACGGTTGCTAAGCAGGGCAGTCATTAAGCAAGGTCTACCTCTAGAGTGATGAATCTGGAAAGTACAGTTCAATATATTGAGACCTTTGATCAGATTACCATATTTTCCCCAAAATAAGACTGGGTCTTATATTAATTTTTGCTCCAAAAGACGCATTAGGGCTTATTTTCAGGTGATGTCTTATTTTTGGGAAAATACAGTATTAAATGCGTCCATCTGGCTGACGATCTTAACTGTGGCTTATTTTTCTGCATGTATTATTATTACAGATGATTTATCCAATGCTTGAGTGGGGAAATTGTTAAGTCAACTTGTTGATAGTATATGTTTGGAAAAGAACAGAAAGTTATGTTTCTTTCAGTGGTAGAAATGATGTAATAAAGTTACAACATGATGATTTTGAACAGAGGTAAAAAATAATCTTGCTGTGGTCCATGAATCCATTTGAATTTTTCCTGCCTTCCTGCTTGAACAATACACAAAGCAGAAAGCAGTTGGATTACTAGTTTGGGCACAGGAAATTTGTACTCTATCAAGATTAATGTCACAGGGACACAACCATTGTCCATGCATCTTTCATTGACCATGGGAGAGCAGTTGCAGGACTAGAATGAGACTGAATCACATTTTCCCAGAGAATACCTCATATGGTTAATAGTTCTAGATAAAACTTCCATAGAACTTCTGTGTTGTCAAATGAAGTCTGGACAATGTGCAAAACACTATTTGTTGTGTAAATTGTCACCCACAATGCATGTTGTGAAATGGCAGTTTCTCAGCTTTTGACTTTTTGTTATAGCATAGAATAAGTAATAGCATCATTTTTGATATAGTTAAAAGGGAAGGATTTTTATACAAGTAAATTATTTGTAGTGTGCCATCTGTCACCTTAACTACATTATTTCCTATCCACATACATTATTTTTCAATTGCACACACCCACTTTTTGACACATTTTGTCTGCTCAACTAATACAGCAAATATGAGAAAAAAGGTGCAGCTAAATTATTCCTTCCAGGATTTCAAAAGAGAAAAGATTGGCAGAAAATAAGTTAGAAAAACTCCCCTATTTTTTAACAGAAAATTGGAGCTGGATTTTTACAACCAATTTTGTTCCAGATAGTTAAACCTAATACACTGCCTTTGTGTTCCACACATATTTCAGCAGCAAAGTTTTTCAGCAGTTGGCCCTGTGAACCAGGCAATAAGAATGATTAAATAACATTGCACCAGATCAAAACTATCTTCCTTGCAGGTCAAAACTATATGGAAGCCAGTGAAAATGGGGGGGAAAAAACAGTCTATCCAGGAAAGTTCTATCTATATTTTAGAAAGGGTATTATGATGGATGTCACAGGACCAATGACTGTTGCCAGCAACAGACTAAGACTTTACCCTCTTAAATTCCTCATACCCTACATTAGACGCAGCAGTGGTTCCCCATTTTGTAAAAATGGTAGTGATGTTTTATTGCCCCTTGCAATTAAGTTGTAGATGTATTTGCTCTCCCTGTACAGAACCTGTGAAAGTGACCTGTTCTTGTATCCCTTTGCTCACTTCAAGGCAGTTCAGTTGGCCCTAACCCTTTCCTCTTAAAACAGAAGGAGTACAGTGCAAAATCCAGTTAGTGCCAATACCCTCTTGAGAAAAGGTAACAGGTATCAATAATGGCTAAATTCATAATACTGGCCACTGAAGATTTGGAATCTTTGACCAGCTTATGCACAAGCCCAGATGAAAGCTGCATCAGATTCAAGTGAAAAAGAAACTGCTACTAGATTCAATACCACAGCGTCTAGGATGAAGGGACATATAAATAAACATGATCTAGCAGTGAGTGAAAAGGGTCCCTTAGCTGTGTTCCATCTGCCTCAAAGGCACAGTCCAGCTCAAATGCTTCTGCAAAGGAAGTCTCTGGACTCCATGATCAAGTGACTAGTCTCTGACTTTTTCACTGAATAGAAGGCAAGATCCTATTTCATCAATGTGAAGGATGACAGTAGGAGGGACAAGTCTCTGCATATTCTTTAGACTTCACTTTCTGTTGAAGGTTTGCGCTGGTGCTCCCAGCCTGTGTCTGGAAGGGAGCCATGACATTCAGGAGTAGTGGCTGCAGTAATGCTGCTGCATTCTGACTGCTCCTCTTTCAACAGTTGCTCAGTTTCAGTGTCACCCAGTGAGCCAGAGCTGGCTTGGATAGAGACTGTGTCAGTCTTCATGCATACATGGTCACGGAGAATACATCCCCGAGAGCTTCTTATCTGTTTAAGATCATCCCATTCAGATTCATCATTGGACAAGAGGCATATTCCTTCAACAATCTTGATCTTGTCCTTGGTGTAACTGTGATCAGGACCAATCTGCAAACAAACAAAACCAAGACATGTACGGTCAAGTGTAAAAAACAGTACTTTTGAAAGACTAATTCTTGTCATGTGAATAAAGAAACAATGGACTATATCCTCCAACTCATCGGGCAGATAATCTTCCCAACAAATTATAGTTCCATCTAAATCAGACTTTCCCAGCTTAGTGTCCTCCAAATATGAAGACTAGTGAAGTCAAAAAATACAGTTTCAGGTATTGAAGACTGATCTGAATTAATTCAGATTTAACAGTGTGCTACAAACAAAACAAAGCACCTATAGGGGAAATAGTTGATCTAAAGATGGGATTCTAAACAAGAACGATGGCAATATCGGTAGTAGCTTCCCAGGTGCTATTGAAAATAACAGTCATCACCTATAAAGTCCACTATAACAAGACCAGGCTATTTGCAGGACCGCCTGTCTCCCATTGTTTCTGCTCACCCTGCCAGAACTAGTAGAGACATGTTCTGGGTCCCCTCTGTTAAACAATGTAATCTTGTTGGACCAAGTGTGCCTTCTCAGTGGCAGCACATGTCCTATAGAACAGCATTCCCCCCCCCACTTCCCAGAGATTTGGAGATGGTTAGCCTTCTGCAAGACTTGACTGTTCCCAGACGTTTGGGATAGACAGTGGATGCACTTTGGTGGTGGTGGTGGTGATGAATGGAGTCAGGTTTCCTTGGGTAGGTTTTGTGTATGTGTGTATACATTTTAATCCTGTAAGCCGTACTTAGAATCACTTGGGTGAGATAAGTTAAATCAGCATGTCCAATCTGTAGCCCGTGGGCCACATGCATCGATGGGCAGCTAATAATGTAGCCCCAGAAGATATAATAAAATTTATTTTTAAAAAATAGAGGAAGCTTGTTTTTTATATATGTTAACTGTATTGTATATTTTATATGCTGCCCAAGACAATTTCTTTTGACCCAAATGCAGCCCAGGCAAGTCAAAAGCTTGGACCCACCTGAATTAAATAAAGAAACAAATATAGTCTCTTAGATTAATAAGAGATAGAAAAACTTTCCTTTGACTCTTAAAATGTAATGTTGGAGAAATAAAGACTGAAACAAAAGCAAAATGTTACATAGATATGCAAAATATTATTCTTAATTGACAAATCAAAAATGAAGCACACATTTGAAGATGATTTATGGAAGGTAAAAAAAAATGTACAAGCATATTAGAGCTAAATATCAAATAGTAATGCATTGTTGGGAATTTCTCTAATTTGTAATGTTCTGCAAGAATGAAATAGTATCTAGCCTACCAGCTGTTGTAAGAAATGCTTTTGCAAATTCAGTTTACTGTTAGTAAAAGAAGCAATAAATATGTTGAGGGAAAGCAGTAAAAAATAATTTAAAAATTACAAGAAACAAAAAACAAGAAACTACTAGAAACAGTGATATAGCGAAATCCTGTTCATATAAGCAATTATTAAACTAGGAGTCAATACCAAAATAACAAGTGCAAAAGTTTCCTATTACATAAGTCTTACGGAGCCCCCTCCCTGTTCTGAGATTTGCATCTAATCTTCAGCAGAAGTACAGTAAAAATTGGAAGTATTGCTAATATCTGATTTATGCAACATAAAAAATGTCCAAGGGAAAATCTTTATTGAAAATGAGAAGTGCTACACCAAGCAATCCATAATTAATTTTAGTATAGAAACAAACAACACAAGGCAATATGTCTCCAAAATGAGCAAGATGCATAGGAGAGAAATACTGACTATTCAAGGTAAAGTAGCTTTTCTCTGAATCATGCTTCACCTCTTTCAAAAGGCCTCTTTTGGTTGATCACTTTTTGATTATGTGCTAGATGCAAATGTAAAAACAAAATTCAGGCAGTATAAAATGACACAACTAGGGCAATTATAAAAGAATTTCCAGTACGTCTTTCTAGGGGCAGAAACAACAACAGTAGTTCAACAACACAGAGCAGAAAGCTAAGCAGAAGTTATATATCAGAGAGCATTCGGCTACTTAACATCACAGAATTAAGAAAGGTGGAAGATGCACAAACCACACAGCTATGATACCTGATATGAGGCTGAGGATGGTCAAAAGAGGAATGGTGAAAGGCTATCAGAGGGGTGAGAAAGATGCTGAGGAAGAAACAGAGGAGACTTCAGCACCAAAATAAATCATGGCTAAACTCTTAAAACTATTGGTTTCCTTCAACCAGAATATTAATGGATAGCAAAGCACAATAGACACAGGGCATAAAAATACCAGATCAGCTGGACCAACTCAAAGTAGAAAACACACATTATAAGTTCCTAAAATTAAAGCAGCAAAGACCATAATTAATATAATTAAAACAAGCCATTCCAATTTTCTGACTGCCTAAGGCAGCTAAAAATTCCAATAATACAAATAAATTATGCTATTGCAATTCTGTCTTTACTGCCACAGCAGGTTTATATCAAGTTCTGAAAACAGCTCTTTACCTCTTTCTTAAAGCAGAGCTGATTATATATGGCTGGCTTGGGAATTGTTTCAATCTTCACTTCTTGGGTAGATGTTCGATAAGAGGGATTACTGTAGGTCAGATTACTTAGATTAGGATCTGTGAATTTGGACTTCTTATGCCTGCAAGAACAGTGTGATAAAGAGAAAACATTTGTCTATTTATTAGATTCCAATCTACGCATTTACTGCTACCATAGAGATCTCCCCTCATTTTATTCCCATTTCAACGACCCAGGGAGACAGATCAGAGTGAAAAGGTGTGACTAGTCCAAGGCCACTCTGCATCTCAATGCATGAAAGTCCTAATTCCCTTACAAACATCAGCTCTTACAAAGTTCTACAGCCAAACCCTCACCCCTATACCAAAAGACCCTGGTGAAATTCTTGACAAAATAATGTGTACTTCATCAGATCTCTTTGGTTAATTGTATAGTCATTAGTGCATCTGTTTAAGCAGACAAAGTGTATTTTATTTCATCCTGGCAAAGTAATAAAAAATACCATTCACAAACAAGATAAATATCCATTCAAAAATGGAAGGTTTAAACCAAAGCATGTTTAATATTCCATTATGTTTCTACTGAAAATTATCAGGCAGCATACATAGATATAGCATACATAAATAATAGAAGTCTAATCCTTTTTATGGGAGGAAAATGAAAATGAAATTCTGTTACCACTTATCCTACCTTTCTTGAATTTTACAGAAGTATGCGAAGAGGAAGGTTTCCTTACAAATTTAAGTTATGTAAATAAACAAGCAAGCATCTGACCTTTATTGTCTAGCATTATTTTGCTTCTAAACTCCAGTTATCCTATAAGAATACTACACTGTCACATCTATTAGCCTTGCAAGCTAAAATGATAAATTTTCCTAAAATTTACAGAGGTCAAAGAAAGCCTGGCATGTGCTTAAAGTATTCTGACTGATACATTAATTCAGAAAGACTGAAGGAAGGAAGATATGGAATTACCTGTATATAATCACAGCACCAATCAGCAGCAGAATACTCAGTATACTGAGAAGACCTCCAGTGATGTAACTGACATGTAGCCCTTCTCCTGAAAGAAGATAAAGAGTCAGATTAAGGATGATGCTGTGTTTCTAGAACTATATATTCAAGTTAGTAAAAATCTGTGTGTCCTAGATGGTTAAGTACTTATTTACATTTTATTACCTATTAGATTATGATGAACAAAACCAGATTAATATATGTACAGTATCTGAAATCACTGAGTGATCTGCAGTGGTTTCATTCAACATTAGCATCTTAGGGCCCACTAAGACTTATTGAGAAAACCTCTGAAAAGCTGCAAAATAAAACAGCTGATGTGCAAGATAGCGAACTAAACATATTACTCTTTTGTCAACTTACATAATTTCATTCAGTGGCTCCAATTTAATTACAGCAATAGTTGATCATTTTTATTGTTCCTAAATCCCTGAGATGAAGTGAAAATAAAAATGAAAAACTCACCTGCAGTTGCCAATATTGCTTCATTTGCTCGGTTGCACAAACCTTGACCAACTTTCTTGTCAGAGCAGCTATATAACAACAAGAAAAAGATGCTGAACTTCAAATGAAGCCATCTTCCTATTAGAAACTGTGTTAAATTGAACCAAGATAAAGCAGAAAAACCAGGTAAAAAGAATAACCTTTATAGCCCAAAGTTATTGCTGCTGATATTATTAGGAAAAAAACTTTATTTAATATATCACAATAAATTTCTGTCACTATAGGGGAAGAATGCAGTGCTATTTCTGATTGGTTTGAATTAACGGATTAGCTGTGATCCCTTATTATCTGATAAAGAGGCAAAGAACTTTATGATATCCAAAATCTGGCAGGTTTTTTTTTTTAAATAGATGGAGAAAGGAGTCTTTTAAAAAGAGAATAGAGCCCACATTTTCCCCTCAATCACTTTCAGTCAACAGAACCACTCACTTTCCTTCTATTGTTTCCACAGAAATATGTGGCTTGGTTGTTGGAGTTTTAAATCTGTCAGTAGAAGTCTGGCTCCTTTTGCTTGTATGAGTTGTCTCAGGATTTGGAGGCCCCATGCTAGGAGCTAGACAGAAGAGAAAGGAAAATAACCTGAGACAAAGGAGACAATTAAGCCTGACATTTTATTTATGGAAATATAATTTTTTCATTATTCAAGGTAGAGCAGAAATGTATAAGATTCTTCTTGTAATGAAATAGGTAGTGTTGTACTGTGAGAACAAAAATGAGAATAGGCACTTCTAGTTTGCCAGGCATCTATCTACGAGTTGTGTAAATGCAATGGAAAACATATATTAGAAGGGTCTTATTTTATATACCAATGAATGATTCCTAAATTACATTTAATATTATATGTAGGAAAATGTTTGAAGTCACTACACACAAATTACCAGTGAAATATAACAAACTGTTCTGAATTGTACTGGATTCTAAGATTAAAGAATTGAAGAATGTATATATGGGACATCTGCAAAATAGAAGAATCATCTCAAGGAACAAATAATTAACATTTTTAATAAAACAGTGCAAAAAAAGACAAAATCTTACTCTCTTGTCCCTAGGCATTTGAATGCTTTACCAAAGAGGTACTTTATAGCTGTAGTTTATTTAAGGGAATGAAGCCATTTTCTGAAGCAGCCTTTAATAAGAGAAAACATGGGCTATGATTCATGCTGGGAAGTGTAGTATACAAACAACTTACCATGAGAGCAAGGCCGTCCATCTGGTTCATCGGGACATGCACAAACAAAGTCAGAAGGCCTGGCAAAGCAGAGATGGGTACAGCCTCCATTATTCACTCCACAAATGTTTGTTCCTAGAAGGTACAGACCAGATATTTCACAAAAGATATAATTTTCTCCTCCCTAGCATAGGGCTTCATGTTCCCTTACTCAAAATATATTAGGGTATAGTGAGAAGTATCTCCTCTGACCAAAGTGCCAATATCTTAAATGACTATTCTCTTTACCAATAATTACCTACAGTACATCACAAAATCTGAAACATTATGCTTTCCCCAAGACCCAAAGGAATAAACACTTTAGAGCAAAAACAACACAGACATTTTAAACTTTTAAAAAGTCAAATGCTTGTCATGATGATGTACAAAGTGTATGGGGTCTTTATTTTGCTGGCTACCTAAAAATATATGAATGTATCTCTTTGAGCTCTGCACACAGGGTTTTTTGATCTCTACCTGGAGTCCTTTTAGCAGAGACCAGGATGCTAAACAAGAGGACTAACTGGCAAGCTTGTGGCCTCATTTTAAATGCAGCAGTTTACTCTAAATCCTATTGAAATGAATAAGAGCAATTTGCTAATATGGGAGTTAAGAAAGGAAATGAAGTGGAACATAGCAGCAATAATACCAGGATTCAGAATGAGGAGTAGGTTTTGCTTTGTTTTGCCAATCATACATGTATGCTGTACCTGAGGTTACTCCTTCAACAAGCTTTGCTCTTCTGGGCTCACACAGTAGATGGCCATACTCAGAAAAGGTTCATAAAGCATACCAGTAGTGGTGGTCGGGTGTAATCACTTGCTGCCATCCAGCTACCATTTCCTTAATGCTTTGGATCAAAATCCTGTACTTTTCAACATCTGACGTGTATTTTCCCTTGAATGGGTTGGGGTATACGCAACAAGGGAGGTATAGGTTTCCTCACATACTTCTTGCCTAATTCATTATTTGTACCAGTCTGGGTTTTGTTTAATCGATGTGGACTAATACGGTACTAGCTAACAGCCAGAGATGAAATTCTCCAGCCGCCTCTCAGGGCCATGCTAGATCAGTTGATGAGAGTTGTAATCCAACCATCTGGATTGCAGAAGACTGGTTTAGAGAATATATTATTCATCAACCTGATAGAATGAATTAATGAATAAACCCAGGTGATTGCATATACCTGTTTGCCTTTGAGGAGAAACCACAATAATATCCATAAGTCCTTCTACATTGGCTAACACAGTCTCCTTATTACGACCAGAGTATTTGTCCACACGCTGAATAGATTTTGTTTGCCAGTCTGTCCAATACAGCCACCTATCCTGCTGCTCAGAAAAGAAGCAGACACAGGATTAAAATACTATGTAATAAGCACAGAGGAATAAAATGGGAGTATGTAAACTTAAAGCTTGTTCTTTTCTATATTTTTTCAACATATTACCATATTTATTTTTTCAAGTAATACTTTTAAGTAATTACATTAACATAAATTATTTTATTTACTCTCATTTTTTGCCAGTGTTTTGAAGTCTCTTCTAAAATTACTTTTGGTTAATTAAATTAAAAGAAAATTTTTTAATTAATTTTTAACATTGCTTGTCTCTTTTTAAATTTTATGTACAGTTGTTATGTTTTTAATATTGTATTGTCCTTCTGTGAGGAAAATGGACAGGTTTTTTTTTAAAAAAAGATAAATAATTAAATAACATAAATAAATAAATAACCACATGGAGGCATTGAAATAAAAAGTTAAGCCTTGCAAGAATTTTCATATTTTGCTAATATTTTAGTAATAGACATATCTAAATATTATAAAGATTTATATACTACTGGATCCCCTAAAGCTATAGAAATTTCCTTCTGAGGTTTTGGAAGAGTATGAAAAATCAGATGTGATTTACGAAAATTAATTGATAATCCTGAAACCTGTTCAAATTCATCAAAATTGTATCATCCACAAATATCTCCCGCTTTCATCCAACAAATCTGATTATTGTGTCTGAGTGGTATTGCCAATGCTTCTAAGGGCTACCTTAAATAATAAAAGTGATAAAGGACAACCCTGCTTAGTATCTCTTAAAATTATAATAGGATCTGAATTATAGTTGTTCAGTCTTATCTAAACTTTAGTTGATCTATCAATATGTTTAATCATCCTACAAAAACTGGTCCCAAATTTAAATTTCTTTAATATTTGTTTTAAAAATTGGATTTTCAGAGAATCAAAAGCCTTACATATATCTAAGGCAGTGGTGGCGAACCTATGGCACGGGTGCCAGAGGCGGCACTCAGAGCCCTCTCTGTGGGCATGCGCACCATCGCCCCAGTCCTAGGCCTTCAGCTGGGTTTTATAAAACCTTTTCGCTTTAGGCCTCCGCCACCATGTGCAAAAAAAAAAGGTTCAATCAATCAGTCAATTTCAACTTCTCGTGGGAAAAAAAAAGATCTTGCAAAGTTGGAATTGATTGATTGAACTTTTTAGTCCCACCCAGTCTGCTGTTACCACCGCCGCCATGCCCACCCAATGGGCCACACACACCCAATGGGCCACATCCACCCGGCACCCGACGATGCATAAGTGGGTTTTGGGTTGCAGTTTGGGCACTCGGTCTCGAAAAGGTTCGTCATCACTGATCTAACGAATCAATATGATTCCTTGACTCTTCTATCATGAAGAAACTTGTTTCCAACTATCTGCACATTAGCTGAACTGTACTACATTACTTCTCTTTAAATGATTATAGCATCACTTAATAGGCTGATATACAGGAGAAAGAAAAAAGAGCCCTGTACAAGCTTTGTCCACTGTGCACAAAGTAAACCAAACTATTTGCATAGAAGTTAAGTTTCATTTCAGCATTCACCACCACCACCTTCCTTTGTACCTGTGTCAAGGCGAAGGGATGTGACACTTGACTGATCAATACTTGGCGTAATTTCCCATTAAGATCAGCACTTTCTATGCGGTCTAGATGAGCATCTACCCAATAAATCCTAGAATGACAGAAAGAATGGAAATTAAACTAATATCCACTTCTGAAACTTTCTTTCTATCAGTTACAATTCCTGATTCTAAGGCAGCTTGGGGACATGCCTTAAAAAAAAAAGGTTGTTTTTTTTTTTAAAAAAACCACAACAATTCTACAGTCAATAATTTTGAAATGCAAGGTTATACTGACCTTCTGATGTCATAATCTAAAGTCAGTCCATTGGGCCAGCCTAAATCAGTATTGATCAATATCTTTCGTTCAGAACCATCCAGGTTCGCACGCTCAATTTTAGCAATATGTCCCCAGTCAGTCCAGAAGAGGTATCTAGAAGAAAATAAACCAAATGCAAAATGATACATGTCAGTCAGCTCTAAAAGATGGCCTGTCCACCAAAGGAATCCATTTGCCTCATGTCTGAAGGCAGACCTCTACTTTAGCCAATCCTCTTCCTTTTTCTTTCCTACTCATTCTATCCCTTCTTCAACCTGGCATCCTCCAAGTATAACAGCTCCCTCCTGATAAGATAACTGGTGAGAATAGTAGTCCAAAATATATTCAAGGCACTAAGTTAAGAAAGCTGCTCTACACTTATCTTTTCGGCTGATGTACCAACAGAAGAGAATATTTGTAGCTAATGCAATAAATTGTTTAAATAAATATTTTTGCTAATACTGACTTACTTACCCTTTTCTAGGAAAGACAGCAATTGCCCGTGGTTCATCCAGACTGTTATTTATCAGCACTTTCCTGCAGCTTCCATCCAATCTTGCAACTTCAATTGTGTTGCGGCCAGTGTCTGTCCAATATAGATTTCGAGCTACCCAGTCCACAGACAAACCATCAGTTCTCTTTAGTCCTTGGCCAATAATAGTTTCCATATTACTTCCATCTAGATCTGCTCGTCTGGAAGAAGATATCATGGAGAATAAAGAGAACATTCTATCTAAACATTTTTCCATAGGGCAGATCCATTTGACAAAGAACAGTTTGGGGGGAAAGAAAGAAATGATTATGTAGCTAATTAACATACAATGAGGAATTTGGAAGATACCTACCTGATAACATCTAATATGACATCTGTGTAGTAAACCTTGCCATCTACACTGTCATAGTCCAAGGAGATAACATTGTTCAGCTCTGGAACAGGGACATAAACATCAATGTGATCACTAGTATCTAGTGAGATTCTCCTGATGGAGCCCCGGCTAGAGAAGAGCAGGTAGGTTTCAGGAGAAGGGTCGCAAGATCTTTCATCAATCTTCAGTTGAATTCCAGTAGGGCAGGCACATGAGAAGCCTTCAGGGTTTGGGAGGCAAAGATGGGAGCAACCTCCATTTTTCTTGCCACATTTGTTAGTACCTTAGGAGAAATGGATCGTCTCTGAGATTACCATCAAAAAGGCTAATATTAATTCAGTATAGCTTTCCTCAGGCTGCTGCCCTCCAGATACAGTATCATTGAGCTTTTGATTTCATAACTCCCAGGCAAGAAGGCCCAAGGAATTGTGCTTGAACAGTTACAATAAACACAGGAGTAAAATCTACAGAAAATGTCTGGAGGCCAGATAAGCATGGTGTTTGCTTTTTAAAAAAAATGCATGAGTGATTTTCAAGAATTAAAGCATGCCCATGAACATTCAGGAAGTCTGGCTTAAATAAAATAGGAAAACTTACCAAGAGGCCTCCCTTTGTCAATGGCCTGGATGTCCATTAATCCAGGAAGATTTGTTCTCACCAAGATGACATTAGCACCAGTGTTCTTATCAGCTCGGTGAATGCTTCTTGTTTGCCAATCGGTCCAATAGATGTAAGAGTCTAATAAAGTCAAGCCATAAGGGTGCTGCACTGGGGAGAGCAGGGTGTGGCGGTTTACACCATTTAGATCTGAAGCCTCAATACGCTGAAAAGAACAGAATGTTGGAATGTCAAGGAACTTCTGATTACGGGGTACAGAGGTCTCCAATAGGTAGCAACTCTTCCTATGATCCAAGAAGCCAAGAATAGTATAATCCAGGGGTGTCAAACTGCCAGCCTGCGGGCCGGTTGCATCATGCGGAGGCCACGCCCACCTCAACTCCGGCAATGTGAAAAAGTCATGATACATTGCAACACATCACATGACGCAGCGAGTTTGACACCCGTGGTATAATCCATTCTAGATGCTTATTTCTAGCATTCTGCTAAATTGTATTTTAATTTCATCCAAGGATTCCATAAGATAAAAAAGAAAAGAGAGGCCTAGCTCAGAAGAAATGAAGTTAGCAAAGCATATCTCGACTCCCCAACTACTCTATGCAATTTGGGGGAAAAAGGAAGATCAAGGGAAAAACACTGGATTGTGTAGTATTGAACTGATTGATATTGAAGAAGTTAATGTTAGATATGTGAACCCAGACAACACGTTTATTAAGCACTAAAGATTGTAATTGTTAAAAATTAATAAAATATTTTTTTTTAAAAAAGGAAAGGATGCTTTTACACACTATAAATTATGACACCCTCGTAATCTGGTTGCTTGGTAACCTGTTCATACACGACTGGTTGCTAAGCATACTGCAGGTATGTGATGGCCATTTGCAATCTTCTCTACCAGCTTCCCTAGAAATTCAAAGGGGAAGCCGGTAGGAAAACTTGCAAGCTGCTGCTATCTTGCTAGAGAACTCCCTCTTGTCTCTGGAAGCTGACTGAAAGAAGCTGCATCCCAAGGAGAGGTGAACTTCTTAAGCAGGGTGCAGAAACAACTGAAATCCTGAAAATATTGGCTCTGTTTTTGCATCCTGCCAAAGAAGTTCCCTTCCCTGCATGTAGGGAACTGAGCTCATTTGGTTCTGGAGGATTTTGGCTCTGTTTTTCCACCCCAATGAAGGAGTTCCTTCCATATGCAGGCAGCTCTTACAACCAGTCCCCAGAGACAAGGGAGCCAAAATCCAAGCAGAGAGTAGATAACCAGTGTGGTAAGGTAAGGAGCACCTTACCTTACCACAAGTTTCTCTTCACTCAGGGCTGAAAATCCTGCTTGGATTTTGCCAGGGAGGATTTTTAGCTCCTGAAGGGAGCCTCCCAGGTCTCCCCTACCACCTGAAACATCCCACACTTCATCTACCTAACAATCTGCCCAATGATTTAATGACCACAACTGGATTATGGTCATTGAGCGAAGCAGTCACATGACATCTCACTAAATTACTGCTTCGCTCAACAACCAAGATTCTGATTCCAGCTGTGGTCATAACTCAAGGACTACCTGTATACAAATATATTCAAGTAAAACAGAAGTTTGATTGGTTATGGATGTTTTAGAAACGTAAGTCATCCAATGGTGTTAGAATCCCAGAGTGATGAACACGCGTATACGTACAAATTTACTCTTAATCCCTAAGATCTCATACTCATCCTTACATTCCACTGCTTCACTCTGAGGCAATTTTTTACACCAAACATTTAAAATTAGAGACTGCCCCTCATGTCATTCTAACCTCAGTATGTGCATCAGCCCAAAATAGTTGTGATCCAGCTTTATCCACAGCCAGACCATTAGGCCATCCCAGGTTGTTGCTAATAAGCACCATGCGGTTAGAGCCATCCATCCCTGCTCGTTCCAGTTTAGCATTTTCACCCCAGTCTGTCCAATACATATACCTAAAGGAAAAGAAGGGGCAAATAAACTATCCATTGAAAAGTCAGCATATTACTTATTGTCATGTTGTCTTCTCCTCTGCAGACTTTCCCTTGAAAACAAGATAATCTATTGCTAGCACTCACCCTGTTTCATGATATAATGCAATTGCCCGTGGGCTGTCCAGATTTTCCCATATTAAAACTTTTCTCATTGTCCCATCCAGGTTAGCCACTTCAATTCTGTTTGTTCCCGTATCAGTCCAATATACTTTGCGGCCAATAGCATCCACAGCTAATCCATCTGTGGTTTGCAACCCTATATAAAAATAAATATATTATTGTTATAGTGTGAGTAACATACACACACACACACACACACAAACGCACACACTATCCTTTTTCCACAAAATATCCCACTGGATGTTCAAGGCAACCTTTACATTAGAGCTTTAGAAGTTGCATTAGGGAAGAACCCATATCTTTGATGTTCGGTATTTACCAAACCATCTATTTATTACCTGTACTAATGATATCCTCATACTGAGACCCATCCAATGAAGCTCTGCTGATCTTCCTCAGTGTGCTGTCTGACCAATAAACCTTTCCTGTTGAAAAAATATAAGAACATTAATATAATTTATTTAAATTAAATCTCCTTGTTAGTCCATAAATATCTAAGATTACTTTGGTGAAAAACAATATTGTAAAGTGTGTCTTCAGGATCTGGTACAATCTATTATTTAATCTATTATTGCTAGAAAAAGATTTTCCAAAAATGGAGAAAAGTAAAGAAGAAAGTGTATCCCTCTGCCAAGAAAAACAAAAACAGCAGCAATTTATTTATGAATATATCATGTGGTATTTAATGAAGACACACACCATCACTATAATATTAATATAAAATAAGTTATTATTCCATATACAAACACAGACACATATATGAGTGTATATGTATATGTTTGTGTTTGTGTGTGTGTGTATACAGTATATATATATGCACACACACACACACACACACACACACACACACACACACATCAAAGCTTTCATCAGTTTTAAGATTTGTTACTTCAATTCTTAGACTACTGCAGCAACATGCTCTGAGGTGAAGGCCACACATCTTAAAAGTCTCCAAGGTTGAAAAATACAACACTTCACCAGGGCAGAACTTATGTGGAATACAATTGCCTTGAAAATTATTTTTGGGGAAAACTGCTTTTAGATATATTGCGACTATAGCTTCCAAAATTTTCAGCCAACATGGCCTACAGGAATTCTGGAGTTGTATTTGAAGGTATTTGGAGCCATATTAGTTTGGGAAAGATTGTTTTAATTAGACTTGGGACATTAAAAAACAGCTTCTTTTATAATGATTTCATGAACATTTGGGGAATGTATTGTTTAATATGAATCACACCATTTATTGGACAGGTTGCTTTTCATTTACTGATAAATTTACTCTTCCCTGAGCAATTCCCTACATCTAAAAATGGTTAAATTACATATTGCCAACCTTCTTCAGGATCAACTCCAATGGCGATGGTGTTTTTCATAGTGACGTTGACTGAGACAACTACATCAGCAAAATATGGAATATCAAGTGAAACCAGACGAATATCTGATCTTCTTGCAAAGATCAGGAAAGCAGACATTCCTGCAAAGTTGAAAATGGAGTTCAGTGCATAATTACAGGAATTCTTTTTCTCAAATATCCCTTCTTAATGCAACAAAAATTTCAGCTGCCAAAGGTGATCTTGGCAATGAATAAAGCCACCAATTTATCCAAGACCATAAAAGTAGGGCCATAAATGTGATGAAAGATCGTAAGAAATACTGAATGTGGTTGTTCAACTATGTAATAATTATTTTTAAGCATATGCTTGAAGAAAAATATTGTTTAGTATAATTTACCAATAGTACCTTACTACATGTAAGCCAAATAAAATACTGTATAGTGCAGGGGTAGGCAACCTTGGCTCTTTTATGACTCGTGGACTTCAACTCCCAGAATTCCTGAGCCAGCATGGCTGGCTCAGGAATTCTGGGAGTTGAAGTCCACGAGTCATAAAAGAGCCAAGGTTGCCTACCCCTGGTATAGTGTGATAATCAGAATCAGTACAAGTAAGGTCCAGTATCTAAAAAATTATTCATGTCTTCAGATTATGCATATATTAAACCAATACAAGAATTATGCATTTATCATGTTCAACAGATCATATACTACAGGTTTCCACTAAATCCTAGTGACATTCTCATGTGTAAACTGCTATATATTTACAGTTTAAATTAATGTTATTAAAATTAGTAAAATGAAATATTGCACAATATTGCAAAGCAGCAAGGATTCCACAAATACAACTACTCTACTTTACCAAGAAGTCTGTTAATGCATTTATGTCTGATACACCTCTATAACGCATAGGGCTTCCTCCAAATTCTAGCTACTTTAGTAACTAATCAGACACAGTTTGTATAGGAACAAATTTTTATGCAGACATTTCATTGTCATCGAAGCTATTACAACTTTTGTCTGACTATACTGCAACCCGCATAAAATTCTACCAGAAGCAGAAAATGTAAAATACTTCTTGTAATTTGAGTATATAACTTTTCTAGGGTCAGAATGTGGGGTTTAGGAGACATTACTCTCTTCCAGGGACTAACAGAACCTCAGAAGGTAGAGACCCACCCGATAAACATGTTCTGCCATCCGGTTGTAGGTTGATACCAGTAGGGCAAGAACAGCTGTAGCCTTTAGGAAGTGGAGCCAAGAGACAAAGATGACTGCATCCACCATTATTAATGTGGCATGGTGTATGTACTGAAAGAGACAATAATGAAACCATTATCAAAAGAAAGCGATTAGGAATAACTGCAGTTTACAATTATTTACAGTTTACAGTTAGGCATATATATATAGGAATCTGAAAGGGAGTACTTTCCATACTCCCAAATCTTTCAGCAAAATCCCTAGCTCAGTGGTGGCGAACCTATGGCACGGGTGCCAGAGGCGGCACTCAGAGCCCTCTCTGTGGGCATGTGCGCCGTTGCCCCAGTCCTAGGCTTTCAGCTGGATTTTATAAAACCTTTTCGCTTTAGGCCTCTGCCGCTGTGTACAAAAAAAAAAAGGTTCAATCAATCAGTCAATTTCAACTTCTCACAGGAAAAAAAAAAGATCTTGCAAAGTTGGAATTGATTGATTGAACTTTTTAGTCCCACCCAGTCTGCCGTTACCACCGCAGCCACGCCCACCCAATGGGCCACACCCAGCCAATGGGCCACACCCACCTGGCACCTGACAATGCATAAGTGGGTTTTGGGTTGCAGTTTCGGCACTCGATCTCTAAAAGGTTCGCCATCACTGCTCTAGCTCATCAAAAATCTATACCAATTTATAGTTTTTAATCTAACAAGGGCAGAGTGATAGATAATACTTCCATTAACTGAATTAAATTAATGTAATTACTGTTCTAATGTAGTTAAATGTGTAAATAAAATAAAATCTAGCATGGTTCCAGCTGTTTTTACAACTGGTCATGCCTATTTTTTTTTAAAAAAAAATAATATTACAGGTAGTCCTTGATTTAGGATCATTCATTTAGCAACCACTCGAAGTTATTGATGGCATTGAAAAAGAGTAATTTACAACTGCTCCTTACATTTATGGCATCCCCACAGTCATATGATCATGATTTGGGCACTTGGCATCCTTTGAGCATTTATAGCAATTGCCATTTGCAACCTTTCCAACCAGCTTCTGACAAGCAAAATCAATAGGAAAGTTGGCAGGGAAGGTCATACAAGTCACAGTCACATGATGTCTCACTTAATGACTGTGGTGATTTGTTTAAAGACTACAGCAAAAAATATTGTAAAATTGGGTGTGGTCACACAATACCTCATTCATGACCACACCATTTAACAACTAATTTTCCAGTCCCTGTTGTAAATCATAAGTTGAGGGCTACCTGTAGAATTAAAAAAGGGGACTCGGTGGGTATCAATGGGTGTCATCGAGTGGTACCTTAAACATTATGGCATGGTCAGAGTAGAATGAAAAACCTGAAACTTTTTCTATCTGTAGCCCAAAGATGTGTAACTTCTTATCTTGATGCAGAAGACTTCCATACCTGCAAGTCTCTGCCGATGAAAGACATGGATGTCCATAAGGTTTTCTAGGTTGTCCTGTAGAGACTCACGATCCAGCCCTGTTCTTTTGTCAGCACTCTGGATGCTTTTCGTCTGCCAGTCTGTCCAGTAGATCCGAGCTCCATAAAGAGTGAGCCCAAATGGGTGAGGCAAATTGCTCCCGATCAATATCTGTCAATCCCAAAAGCATATCAACCGACTGCCAGGAAAAGAGCAGTTTTTTTAAAAAAAATAGCAATGCACAGTTGCCCAGAAGCAGTGGTAGATTATAGAATCTGTAGAATCCAATTTGGGTTGATCACCAGGATCTGCGGTTAGTCTTCTGAGCTTTCAGAGTCGTGTTGGGGCCCATCCTCAGGAAACTTCTCTCTAACACATTCCAGTGAGAGAGATGTTCCCTAAAGATGGGCTCCAGAATGGTCTGAAAGCTCAGAACACTAAACTCTGGTCCTGGTGACTGACCTAGATTGGATCCTGCAACATTATCCTGGGGCATGTATATTTGCCTTCATTTTTGACAAACTGTAGAGTAAGTTTTCCCAGCCTGATCCCTTTCAAATGCGCTGGACCTTCATGGACCTGGCTGAGAATTATTATGGGCACCAGGGGAAGTCTAAGGCTGTCTCAACAATACAGCAACAGTTTTCCATACATTTCACTGTCTATCGTCTTCACTCAAAAGTTATTCATTTGTCCCTTTAGAGGAGCAACTGAACTCCTCTGAATATCAAAACAAGGCATGTTGGCTCAAAGAGAATACATGTATGTTTTCTCTAAACAAACATTGCATATATCCTATTTACCCTTTCCCAGAAATCAGTTCAACTTGGCTATTCAACTTGGTTGCTGGAATTGAGTATGTCTAGTCTAATGAAGAGAAGGACGAGGGGGGACATGATAGCAGTGTTCCAATATCTCAGGGGCTGCCACAAAGAAGAGGGAGTCAAGCTATTCTCCAAAGCACCTGAAGGCAGGATAAGAAGCAACGGATGGAAGCTAACCAAAGAGAGAACCAACCTAGAACTAAGGAGAAATTTTCTGACAGTTAGAACAATTAAACAGTGGACAACCTGCCTCCAGAAGTTCTGACTGCTCCAACACTGGAAGTTTTTAAGAAGAGACTGGACAGCCATTTGTCTGAAATGGTATAGGGTTTTCTGCCTGAGCAGGGGGTTGGACTAGAAGACCTCCAGGGTACCTTCCAACATGATCACCACCACCAACCACCACCACCACCACCACCACCACCACCACCACCACCACCACCACCACCATCATCATCATCATCATCATCATCATCATCATCATCATCATCATCATTATTATTATTATTATTATTATTATTATTATTATTATTATTATTATTATTTACCTTCCTATCACTGCCATCCAGGCCAGCATATTCAATTGTCTTCATGCCAGCATCTGCCCAGTATAAGCGCTGAGACTCATAGTCAATAGCCAGTCCATTGGGCCAGGTCAGGTTGGAAGAGATGATCACCAGGCGATTAGAGGCATCCATTCCTGCACGCTCAATCTTTGGATTAGCTCCCCAGTCAGTCCAGTACATGAACCTGCATATAAATGTCCAAAATGATATATAACTGCTATTTTTATTAATCTTACAATTTTTGCTTAACTGCATTAGGAAAGAAAAAGAAAAGAAAACTCTAAACAGGTGAAGGTTTTCCAGTTTTGCAGTGGCTAATTTAGGTATTTGCTTACATTTGCCAAATATGCCAGCATCTTTTCATATGGTGTTGAATTATAAATTACAGTAGCTCCAGCCAACTTAGCCAAAAGTAAGGAATGCAGAGAGATGCAATTTTCAACATCTAACACATTAGTCAAAATGGCTACATATTACTCATCTCTTTTCTGTAGATAACTTTAATATGGTCATCCTTCTTATTCTTTGTGATATATTCATGTTTGTTTGTAAGAGTTAACTCCATGCCCTTCAAAAGATTTTCACTCGGCCTCATTAGCAATAGCATTTAGACTTATATACTGCTTTATAGTGCTTTACATCACTCTCTAAGCGGTTTACAGAGTCAGCATATTGTCCCCAACCATATGTGTCCTCAGAAGAATGGAAGTCTGAGTCAATCCTGAGCCAGTGAGCTTCAAATTGCTGGCAGTCAGCAGAATTACCCTGCAATACTCCATTCTAACCACTGCACCACCATGGCTATAGCTATCATGACCAATGACCAGGTTTGGTGCCAAACTCAATACTAGATTGTCTATTGTCTATTCTCAACATTACAGAATACCACATTGTCTATCCCTGAACTAATCTTTGAAGGATATTGGGTATACAGGATATTAGAACGGAGTCTTTTTCAGTCTTATTGTTTTGTAAACACTGTAAGTATTAGCACATAAGAATCAACTCTACAGACTTTTATATATATAATTATATATAAAATTACAACAGCAAACTTTCAGGGATATCACTGTCGTGAAGAATCAAAATGCAATGGCATACAGGAATGGCAGCAATGCAGTCTTAGGAGAAAAGTTCTCACCCTCCAACAGGGTCCACCACAATATCTCTTGGTCTGTCTAGGTTTTCCCATATTAGAACAGTTCTCATTGTCCCATCTATGTTAGATACCTCTATCCGGTCTGTTCCTGTATTAGATAGAAAAGGGAAAGAAAAAAATAATCAGCCTTCAGGACCAGGAAAAAAAAAATCATAAAAGAAAATAATCCATACCGAAATGTCATTCACACACCATGACAAAGGAAACCAACAGGATATATCAGCAAAACGACTTCTTCGGCAGCCCTACAAAGTATCCTCAGTCTGTAATAATCACTCTGACCTCTATAAACATTTTTTTCGATGAATTGGATCAGCATATCTAGTCACCCTTACTCAGAAACTGTTGGTTCTATTAAAACTAGTAAAACACAGGATCATTTTACTGAAACCTTTCCTTTACTATTAACCTCTCAGACTGCAGGTTTGAATGCTGTTCCATGTTCTTTTTATCCATAAGAAAAACAAATTTACTCAGGGTGAAAATTCTATCTACTGGAATATTTCAATTTGGAAATTCAAAAACGCCATTTGAATTACTCTGTAATTTTAGTGTCACAATACAAAGCAACCTTTCACATTTGCATTTGCCGATAATATTGACAAACCAAGTACATCAGTATAAGATTAAAATGTGTAATGGAAACATTTCAAATAAAGTGGCAGGCAGGGACATTTCTGCAGGAATAAATTGATATGATAGAGATTTTCCTATTTTGGAACACTGCTTTTTTAAATTACAGAAAGTAAGTTCTTACTGCCAGAATTTCTACGCAACCTGTCCACTGTTTACAGGAAGGTGAAATGTTATTAAAGTCTTCACGATCATAGAGTTTAAAAGAGTCTTATTCATATATCTCAACAGATGCATTGGGAATAATCCTGTTAAGAACTTGGAAGGCAATTTTTCAGTGAGTGGTTAGCTTTTAGAGTAGCAAATAAACTCTTGCATATAGCAGTGGCCTTCAGTACCTGCATCTGTCCAGTACAACTTGTTTGTGACCCAATCAACAGCAAGACCAGCTGGGCTTTCAAGACTGCTCTCCACCACAATCTGGCAACAAAACAAACACAAGAATGAAACTTCGAGGGCAGTATTGCTCTAACCCAAAGCACCGCCTGACTTCTTTGGACTGATGAATGTTCAGTTGTATGGGGGAGGGGTGTTTAAATAGAGATCTGGAATTCCTCCACTTTAAGACATATGCATAGAATATATTCCTCAAATAATTGAAAAAGTAGAATTTAAAGATTACATATTTATAATGAGCCAAAACAAAACTCAAGAAGACAAGCAACTTATGTACTTCCACTGAGCTTTTATGGGATATTACCTCCTGGCCTGTTCCATTCCATTTTGCCCGACTAATGGAATCAGTGCTAACATCTGTCCAGTAGACATAGTCACCCTGCGCATCCCAGTCCAGAGCCACAGCACTGCGCACATCTGCCAAGGGGATGACAACATCAGACAAATCTTCTGTGTCGAAGCTGATACGACGGATGTCCATCCTTCGGGCAAAAAGCAGGAACTTGTCAAGACCTGATCAAAGGTCGAAAGGTCTTCTTTTAATATCTCTAACAGAAAATTATGATAACAAGCACAAAAAAGTGATCTTGGCACAACGAAGTTCTATTACATCCATGCCTATTACATGGATATAAAAGTCCAATCTATAATGCAGGCCAGACCTGAACTAACACTAGTACTTGAGACTTATATACCACTTCACAGCGCTTTATAGCACTCTCTAAGCGGTTTACAGAGTCGGCATATTGCCCCCAACAATCTGGGTCCTCATTTTACTGACTTCGGAAGGATGGAAGGCTGAGTCAACCTTGAGCCAGTCAGGATCGAAAGAATTGAACTCCTGGCAGTGAGAGCAGAGTTCGCCTGCAATACTGTGCTCTAACCACTGCGCCACCATGGCGCTTAACTAACAAATCAGTACAAAGCAAAAGGAAGTGAGCATACAATGTTGGAAGAAGTATTTTAGGAGTAGAGGAAAAAAGGACATGTTCTTAGATAAAACGTCTCTGTATGTAAGGACATGACAAGGTACATTAATTGGCAATTCCATCATTTAAAATATTAGGAAGAAGCATTTGAACCTTGTTCACTCAGACCCAGGACCTATCAGTGCCACTGCTAGCATTAGCTAGTCAGGTGCCTTTAGAAAGTCCAGAAAGAAAAAATGAATCAAAAACTGCCCTTCCTTAATGCTTCTAGCAATTGACTTTCTTCTGCCTCTGATCCCATAGGTTCAATGTAATTTTTATAGCATTAAGGCAGTGGTTCTCAACCTTTTTAATGCCGCGACCCCCAACCGGTCGTAAGTCGAGGACTAAACCGGTCGTAAGTCGAGGACTAAACCGGTCGTAAGTCGAGGACTACCCAACCGGTCATAAGTCGAGGACTTTCCCTGCCCGGGAGCACCGCGCATGCGTGGTTCTGCCCCCTGCGCCGGCCGAGGCGTAGCTGGCAAGCTGCAGAGACGGAGCAGGCCGACCACCAGCTGGCCCAGCCCAAGGGAGGTAAGGCACCCGCCAGAAAAGGGGAAAAAAATGGCGGACAGCCTTGCTTGGCGACCTCTGTGAAATGGTCGATCGACCCCAAACGGGGTCGCGACCCATAGGTTGAGAACCGCTGCATTAAGGATTGATAAACCAATTTTCCATTAATAAACTAACTTTAAAAATCGGTCGAGCCACAGGCTATCGCTGCATCTAGAGGCAAACTATTCTACAAACTATGTATTGTGTGGAAAAGCAATTGGTTGTGAACTGACAAATAATTTCATTGAGTGCTTGCAATTCTAATATTATCTCTATCCAACTTCTCTTTACCATTACATTCTCAGCATTTTATAAACTTCCACAATCTTCCTAACCCAGCCATCTTTTTAGTTGTTTAAGATACTTATACCATATTTTCCAATTAAGTAAGAAACCATATCAAACTAAGAAATACAAATATTATTTCCTCAAGGCAAGAACTCCCCCTTTCCTTGCAGAAAAGATACCCCAAATCCTTTATCATGCCACCGGTGCTTTTCTGCAGTTGAACTTACTTGTTTGTTTTTTGTTTATAAAATTGGAAAAAAATATTCTATATTTTATATGGAAATTTGGAAAAACAGCAACAACAACAAAAAATCCAAATGTCATCCTCCCATCAATTTCATAAACACATTGTAATGTTAGCAATGTATTGTGAACACAACCCCTTCACGTGGAATTTACTGTTTCATTTAAATCAGTGTTTCTCAACCTTGACAATTTTAAGGCAAGTGGACTTCAACTCCCAGAATTCCACAGCCAGCAATGCTGGCTGTGGAATTCTGGGAGTTGAAGTCCACATGCCTTAAAATTGTCAAGATTGAGAAACACTGATTTAAATGTAATTTTGCTAAAATTCTTTACTCTCTCTCTCATGTGTCTGGACACAGACATGTTATGAAGGTACATAAACTCTTTAATTACACTTACTCTGGGCACAAGTATGGCTGCTAGTCTTCCGAAAACCTGTGGGGCATGCACAGGTATAGCCCTTGTTATTTGGTAAACAGAGATGAGTACAGCCACCATTGTTGGTTCCACAGCGATTTCTCCCTGCTCGAATAGCCAAACAGATATTTTATATATATATATATATATATATACATTTGTATAAATACACCCACATAAACACAAATACCACGACCTATATAGGGAAAAGAACCAGAGATACAATGAAGCCTATTCTATTTTGGAACAGCCTGATTTATTGTGCATTTGTATCTGTCTAGTGTATTTCTAAAACAGAAATATTCACCACGGACATATAAAGGATATATAGCCATTTACTTTTCATACTTTGAAATTATTTTTGTGGTACAAGCAAACATATTGATAAGCCACTGGTAGCAGTATTAGACCAATGGTAATTTTTATTATATTGTGGACTTTAATACTACCTGGATAGTAAAATATGAATAAAATTAATGAAGATATTCATTGCAATTCAACATTTTTGACAATAGTAGAGTTGGATTAACTGGGAAATCTTTTTCCAGGTACACAGAAATATGCCAATAACAATAGTAATATAACAACCACAGTAATGAAAGATTATCACATTATACCATCATTTATGAATTTATGTGGGGAGCTACTTGGCCATTGCTGCTAAGAAAATATTATACAGTAGCTACCCACTTATACCTGGTAATATGTCTTTGGAAACACTGCATGTTTTCTGAATGTAGAGCACTAATCAAACAATTTGATTTGAAGCACTAAGACAATTTTTATATTCTATAAAGTGTTAAGATTCAGGAAGTATTTGCTTGTCAATATCTTGTGATAGAAAACTTGTCTTTTAGCAATAATATCTTGTTTTTTCTCTCTGTAGTTACCTGCTGGTTGGCGTTGGGGATGCAAAGTATGGATATCCATGGGGAAATGAAGCTTGTTACGGATGATCTCCTGATTTTTTCCAGTAAATTTGTTGGCACTGTTAATACTCTTGGTATGCCAATCTGTCCAGTACAGGCTATCTTCAAATACGGTGATAGCAAATGGATGTGGAAGGCCTGCAGCAAGAATCCAGTAAAAGCAGATGAAAAGGTTATGGTCATTCTTTACTGTTTCTAAAAGTTGCTTCTATCACTGAGCCCCCCCCCAAAAAAGGTTTCTTTCTTTTAATAATACCTCCAAAATTAAGCAAACTTGCTGCTGGTTTCCGCTGCCTTATTACTCTACATTGCCAGTTCTCCTGGAAATAAAGGCTGACATCACAGTGCAATTTGCTACTCACATTGTATGTCCCAGCCATTGAGATTTTATAACTTGTTTATGAATTGGTAGATATCAACCACAAGATATTGTTTTGAGAGTACTGCTGGCATTAGTGTGATGGGAAAATAGATGTGGGACCAAAGTAGACTCCTGGCATCAAATGATTTCAACTCCTGGCATCAATGATCTGATTTGCTACACAGTATTATGTGAGTTACTCAGAGCATCCCTTAGCACTGTTGCTTATCTAGTAAACAACAGTCCCAATTTCGTTATCTCACCTTGACTAATAACAGCCTTCCTGTTCTTTCCATCCAAATCAGCCCTCTCAATAACATGATGCTTGGCATCTACCCAGTACATCCGATGTCCTGCATAGTCAATAGTTAGCCCATTTGGCCAAAAAAGATGAGTGTCAGCAATAACGCGCCGATTGGAACCATCCATGTTAGAGTATTCAATACGAGGAGTGTTTCCCCAATCTGTCCAGTAGATGGTACTATTGGAGAAGAGAAAAAAATGTGAACTGTGGAAGTTCCTTGAAAGGACAACAGATATTGCTCACCAAAACAGCCACTTGTTTAGCAATCTAAAGCTAAAGTCATAATACAACTGGAGCTGATGAAAGCAAACAAAGATAACAGATTCAGGCTATGATTATACAAGACCACAATCTTTGTCAATCAACTATTAACCAGAATCTTTTGGCTTCAGAAATGAGCACTTATAATGGCTTTCTTCATACTGAGTATCCTCCAGATCAGGGGTTCTCAACCCTGGTCCATGGACCAGTACCGGGCTGCAGCATGCCAGCAACTGGGCCACACAAACAAGCAAAGCCCCATCCACGAGATGCAGGCAGCACATAAAACCACGCACCCTCCGGTCCATGGAAAAACCCTTTCTATGGAACCGGTCCCTGGTGCCCAAAAGGTTGGGGACCTCTGCTCCAGATGGACAAAGTTAATTTTCCAGAATTTTAGCTGGCATGGTAGTTGCTCAGAATTCTGGGAGTTACTTCACACAACAGGAAGGTAATACTTTTGAAAAAGACTGATCTATGCTAATGTAGCTTACATTACAGAACACAGGAGAATCCTAAGGCTATGAAAATAGTACATTAAGTTCCAGTAAATAAAAATATTTACAGGATATTCCAAGTTGAGTGTAGAGAAGATGATTTTTATATTCCTTCTATCTGCATATCCTCTAAAATGGAGAATGAGGTGTCATCAGGCGCAACAAGCAAAAAAATAATAGTAATAACACGTTTGTAAAAATCACCAACACGTTCTTTCCCCTCTAGGGGAAGTTGTCATTAGTTTTCATGGCGTTTTTACATATGGAAGATGTTAATTCATTTGTAGAATGGCAACTCTAGATTTGGCTCCAGGTGGCCAAATTGGAGTCTTCATTCAACAAATTTCATCTGATAAATTAAGATAACAAGCAGTGAGTATACATATCTCATACTCACCCTTCCATAGGGTGAAGAGCAATTGCACGAGGTTTTTCTAGATTCTTCCAAAGAAGCACCTTCCGATGCATTCCATCCAAATTTGCCACTTCAATGCGAGATGTCCCAGAATCTGTCCAGTATAACTTGTCATGGATCCAGTCAATGGCTAGCCCACCTAGGACCCAGAGGAAAGAAGAATGTGACAAGTAATGGCTGCTCAAGAATAGTCCCATTGAGCCATGACTAAGGCTATCCTGTTCTATAAAAGGAAAATGGAAACAAGGGGTTTTTTTTACCCCTCTTGTCATATAAATCACTAAAATATTTAGATAACTATTTGAACTATCCATTATGCCCATTATGACCAAGATGTAGATGTAGATATATAGATACACACGTGTGCATGCACGTACACACACACACACACACACACACACACACACACACACACACGGCTATAAGCCACACTTGATTTTTGAATGGCATGGTGCACTCTAAAATCCAAATGGAGATAGGAGAAATATAGGCCTGATTTACATTTAAATTTAATTGAAGATCAAGTTAAATACAATTCATTTTATTTTATCCTATGCTTCTAATAATGTTCCTCTTCTTCCCCAGTAAAACGTATGATTGGTGGTTACTATGGGGGAATTCTGAGGGCTGCAACAAGGTCTTAGGGGTTATAGTCTACTCTGAATACTCAGGTTATGCAATTTTAGAGTTGCTTCCATGAAGATAGGCAACATACAAGTTTGACAGATAAATAGAAACAAATAAATACATTTTGCTACATACAGAGCTGCCAGTTTTACTTCCGAAACCACTGAAGACATTTACCTGGACTTTCCAATCCGGTAGACACCACTTCCTCCACATTGCTACCATTTAGATTGGCCCTCATAATGCGGTCCAGTGTGACATCAGACCAGAATACTAATTCCTTGCTATGGTGGAAGTCCAGTGCAATAGCATTTTCGAGGTTGTTCAGAAGCAAAGTGTACTCGGAGCGGTGGGGTAAGACCTGCCGGATATCAATCCGATTGGCAAAAAGCAGCACAGGTTCTGGCCCTGAAGGATACATGCAAAGAGATGTGAGAAGACTATTGTATGGACATCAGTGAGATTACAATGGCAGCACAGAATCAGTTCACAGATAGAAAACCAACATAGAAGCATTGCATGTAGGCACATTCACACTGTTTAGAATATAAACTGATATACTGTAGTTCCCTCCACTGTATTTTATTTGATTATTCGGCAGTTTGTTAGAAATGTGGGAACCAGCATTCATGAAAAGTGATTGTTCAGTAAGTGGATTCTGTGCAATGGATCATCTATCATCCCCAGCCTTTTTGTTTTTGCTGTTATCTGAATCTGTAGTTCTTGACCTGGGATTTAGTCTTTTCCTGGGATCTGTACAGTTACATTTTTATCTGTTTCTTTGTGAAATTTATATACTACCTTAGTCCAGTTGACCCTAGGAGGTTTACAGTAAAATATAATCATAATAGTAATAATAACAGAAAACAGTATATCAATAAAATATAATTTATTGCCTCCAGAATCAATCCTGAAAGGCTGCCCATAAAAACAGACTTTTCTAACCTTCTGAAAAACCATATGAATGCCATCCTCACAAAATACGGCTTCTCAAAAATCAGGTAATTCCATATCAGAGGTGTATAAAAAGCTCTGTCATAGAATATTTCTGTTCACAGTCAGATCTCTTCTAGAATGGGGGTCCCCAATCCCAGGTCCATGGACCAGTACTGGTCTGTGGCATGCCAGCAACTGGTCTGCACAAACAAGCAAAGCCCCATCCATAGGATGCAGGCAGCACACAAAACCACGCCCCCTCCGGTCCGCGGAAAAACCTCTCTCCACAGAACCGGTTCCTGGTGCCCAAAAGGTTGGGGACCTCTGTTCTAGAATATCCAGAAACAACCCACTGCATGCAGGGGTTAAGAATAGAAAGGAACTCAAGGTGGACTGGATTTAGATGTCTTGTGGGTGTGAAGCAGACATGTCAAACTCAAGGCCTGCGGGCCAGATCCGGGCCATGATGAGGAGCACTGTGTGAAAAGGCCAGCCGGGCAGTGAGTGAACACATGGGGGAGGAGAGGGGAGAATATAAGAGGAGGGGGTTTGGAGGGAAGGAGGAGGAGTGAGGGGAGAGAGAAGGCGATAGGGAGGATAGGAGAGACTTCTGTGGGGCAAGCCTGAGGGAGAGAGGGGGACAGCAACTGGCCTTTTCAGGGCAACCATAATGCTGATGTGGCCCTCAATGAAACTGAGTGACATCCCTGGCCTAAAGAGACTCATGACTGATGATGCGTTTGACCCCTCCCTTGGGCTCAGCCTTGTCATCTCCTACAGAACCAATATTATCACATTTTCTATTTTCAAAAGAGGCGTGCAGCTGAAGAGAGAGGGGGGGAAAAACTCACAAAATACTAGTCTAGCTTTTTCCAGCCTAATCTTGTCCCAAAGTGTTGGACTGTAACTCCCATCAAATCTAGTAAACACATCCCAAAATATATTGTCAATGGAATAATGGAAGCTATATTCCAGTGCAACTAGAGTCATCAGGCTGTGGAAAAAATAGACTAGCCTGTTACGCAAGCAGCGTATTTGAAAATTAAATACCGTGGGGAAACGGAAGCCGTGAACTAAGCCAGCAGTCATCCATCAGGCACATGGATGGATCCTAAGCCCCGAATGATCCCCAGTGCCTGGAGCTGAAGACTCTCTCTTACCCAGGGCTTTGCAGCTACGCTTGTCTGGGCGAAGCTCATAGCCTTGTTCACACCAGCACTGGAAACCGCCCTCACTGTTGGTGCACCCCTGACTGCAATAACCTTCCTCTGCACATTCGTTCACATCTGGAATAAGAAAAGAACAAAGAGTGCGAAACTAAAGAGAAAAGGGTAAATAGGTTGGTTTTGGGTTCCGTACTTCGATGCCTATTTGTTTATTTTAAAGATTTATATATTTATCCGTCTTGTAAAACACAACTCTAGGCGACTCACAAAGATAATAAAACCAAAACAGTAAAAGATAACCCAAAATATCAAGCACTTAACTCATCATCTCCAATCTATCAATCTACACAATTTGTAAGCTATATACAGTATACTATGAATATAATAAAAAAAAAACCTTCCTTTTTATGACCCTGGAATTCTTTTTTTTTCTTTGCCCTGTTACCTTCATACTATGAATGTAATAGGATAACAAGAGAAAAAAGTCAAACTAACTGATTTTTCTATTGTAGATGCTTTGAAACAAGGCCATTATATGCAGCTACTGGTTTAAATCATATTTTTTTCTGAAATTCAGAAAATTCTCTTTCCATTGGAATCTTCCCCATTTTTCTATTGATTCTACCTTGCTTTTTTAAAAAAAAAAATGACTAGGATTGATAAAGGGCCTTTGATGTTAGGATCAGTGGTTAGGAAGCACCAATAACAATCAGAAAGTCCCACATAATTATACAGTTGAACTTGGTTAATGCCACTGCCTGTCAGTGCTACGACTTTGGCAAGGACAATTTCATTCCTAGTCATACAGATGCTCTTAAGTTTTCAGGCTGTTTACCATGACATGATCTACCATCCTCCAGAAGCCTGTAACCTGTATGACAGGTACACTGAACCATTCCACGAATCATCTGGCATTTCTGGGCACAGTCCCCATTATTGACATTACAATTTTCCTCTCCAGTTCGAGGACCTGTGAAAAGATCAGAGATAGAAAATGGATATAACACAGCCATTCTTTTAGAATTTTCCTCTTATCTAGAACAAATTATGAAAACTGCCTAAAGTAGTTGTCAGGAGGGAAAAGAAGACTTTTGGGTTCTCAAGTGGAAAAAGAGACCCCATATTTCACACAAACAATTGCTCCTAATTTGTCAAGAAATGAATAATTCCTATATGTTGGCTGAGCTTAGCTTGGCTCTCCAATATATACCTGGAATGCCATATTGTTCCACAAATAGTCTACTCTCTTGCATCCACAAAAACAACCCAGAAAAGACAGAATAGGGTTTGATAAGATAATAAGTGAAAATGCCAGAATAGGTCATCACCTCAACATTCAGAATATTCTTACAGCCTGTCCTCAATTTACAACTGTTCGCTTAAGGATCCTTTAAATTAATGATGGCCTTAGAAAGGGTGTTTTACAGCATATAAAACACATCCTGGTCATTGTAAAACATCAACATACACATACACACACCGCACCGGTCAGGCAATCATTAGCTAGGTGCTGGGCAACCTGTCTCCAAGCTCTTATAACTGGTTGCCAAGTGCCCGTGATCACGTGACTGCCATTTGCAAACCTCTCTGCCAATTACCCCAAAACGTCAATGGGGAAATGAGCAGGGAAGGTTGCAAGTTGATGCTACCTGCTGAGAGGACTCCCTCTGATCTCTGGGGCTGCCTGAAAGAGCTTCCTGCTGAAGGATTTCAGCTTCAAGCAAACAGGCATGAAGAATTTCAGCTCCATGCTAACAGGCATGGAGTGGAAATCCTTTGACAAGGAGTTCTTTCAGCCAGCCCCCAGAGATGAAAGGAAGCCAAAATCCAAGCAAGATTTTCAGCCACTGAACAGGAAGCATGAGAAGGTAAGGAGTGCAGAGCACCTCAGGGGGATGGGGGAGGCACTGGGAGACCCAGTGCAGGCTGTGCACAAGTGCCTATTAACTCGGGCTGAAAATCCTTCTTGGATTTTGGTAGGGAGGATATTCGGCTCCTGAGCAGAGAGACACTCACATGCTGACCGCTCTGCATCTCCCTAAGTTTTCCTCATCCCCTTGAGGCACCTGCACTCCTTATCTGGCATTTCATACCTAGACCTCCGTCTGCTTAACAACCCACAAGATCACTTAACAACCGCAAATATTGGGAGTACTGAGATTGAAGATGTTGAGTGACCGAGTTCAATGACTGAGATTCTAGTGGCAATGATGGTTGTAAGTCAAGGACTACCTACACCTTTTTATTCTTGAGGTTGGTACCCAAAGAAGCACAACTAGCTAATTCAGAATGCACTATTCGAGGGGAAAAAAAGTGTTCTTTTTGGTGTTGTATATCTCACTCAGATCAGCTAATCTGAGTAGATGTACAACACTGAAAAGAAAACTCCTATTTTTTTCCTTGAACAGTGCACTCTGAATCTTCAGAGAAACTGAGGTCAAGACCCTCTTTTTTTCTATCTTTTATATGATGATGAGAGACATCCCTACAAATACATCTGTTGTTTTTTTAAAATTAACTTGAAAATCAATTGCGAGCACCCATACTGAAGTCGGCATGAGGCAACTTACGGCAGTTTTGGGCAGGGCTCTCATCACTGCCATCTCCACAATCATTGGCACCATTACACAGCTTCCGTTGGCCAATGCAGCGCCCATTTCCACATAGAAATTGGTCAGGGGAACATTGTGGGATTCCTGAACGAAGATTTTTGTCAAAATTATAAAACCGATAGCTGAATTTAGCACAGATTATAGCACAAAAAAAAGGCATTCAATTGTACAATTTTTACCTGAGTCCTCACAGTCTTCTTCATCACTGTAATCAGAGCAGTCCCCTTCCCCATCACAGCGCCAAGACAGCCGGACGCAGCGGCCAGATTTACATCGGAACTGGTCAGCTGTGCACATAGAGGTAGCTGAAGAAATAAATATGAACAAGAATTTCAAAATGGTTTCACAACACTTTTTCTATTACCTTACTGCCCTTAAGCTGGACCTGATTTACAAGTCCCAGGTTACTCACTGCAGTTTTTCTCATCCGACTGGTCATCGCAGTCAAAATCACCATCACACCTCCAGCCAGCATTAATGCACAAGCCACTGTTGCACATGAACTCTCCAGAGCGGCAAGGCTGGTGAGAGGCTACGGAGATAAACAGTATATGGTAATTTACACTCTAATTCAGCCCAAATTAAGCCCAAGAGATTCAATTTGCTATCTGGAAGGAAAGCTGAAAAGCTTCTGTTTTGAATATTGGAATGACAGAGGCCCATTACAAATTTTCTCTGTTACTCCTAACATGAAGCACATCTGACCTAAAAACAACACAGCAGTGCCATTTGATCTGAGTCGGCAGGCCCTCGCTGCAAGTAACTTACAACAATCAGATTCATCAGACCAGTCCCCACAGTCATCATCCCCATCACAGTGGTAAATGTCCAGGATACAACGCCCATAGGCACACTGGAATTCCTCCAGGCTACATGTTGCTGCGGGAACATCTGATGCTAAAAGGGGAATGAAAAAAATAAAGGTTAACAGGAGATTCCCTAAACTGTTCTGTGATTCTGGTGCTGCACAAAACAGAAATCAATAGCAATTAGACTTACATACTGCTTTATAGTGCTTTACAGCCCTCTCTAAACATTTTACAGAGTCGGCATATTGCCCCCAACAATTTGGGTCCTCCTTTGCCTGACCTCGGAAGGATGGAAGGCTGAATCAACCTTGAGCTGGTGAGAATCGAATTCCTGGCAGTGGGCAGAGTCAGCCTGTAATACTGCATTCTAACCACTGTGCCACCATGGCTCCTAGCCAAGCAAATAGAGTGGCAAGCATCATGCACAAGCTTTCACTGCACTGAAAGATATCAAACACTAGCAATAATTAGCCCTCTGCTTCCCCAAAAAGCCTATTTTGAACAGAATATTTGTTGCTTCATAAAAATCCACAAAAAGATCCACAGTAAGATCTTCCACCATTCTTTAAGATTATTCCATGTCACAACCTAGGAAATATAAATTAGGAAACTGTCACATATTCAAGCTACTTATATTGAGTAGCATA